AAATGTGCATCCGGTGAGTGTGCATTTTTACCATACCCCGCATGTCACCGGAATATTCGATTGATACTACTGAGATCACAAGATTGTTTTCACATTTGAATTTCCTGCACCGTATTGGGGCTATTATTTATTTATATATATATATATTTCAGTCATTGCTTACCTGGACATTATTATATACTACCTTATATGGTGATTAATCACCAAATGATTATCTGTTGTAATAACTAAGCACGTTACTGTGACACTTTATTTGGGGAGTAATCAGATATTTATCCTATATCCCTATTTCTATTATTAGCGCTGCACGTTTTACATTTATATAGGTGCAACCATGAAACCAGACAGATACAGTAGGAAATGTCTATTATTTAATTGCGTCTCAGATCAGCAGTTCCTATGTGCATTTTGAGTGCAAATATGTCAGCATCAATCTTTGGATCATTTTGCAATCACCTGCTTTAAATGTGCTTGATAGCCTAATAACAACTGCTCTCCTCATTTCTTTGTTGCACCACAACGGTGAGAATAAAAAATACTGTCAGTCACCACTGTATGCTCTGCCCCTCCAGTGCTCACTGCTGGGCTGTGAAGGGGAAGGGAGCGGCTGGCTCAGGCTGTCAGTGGCTCACAGAGTACTGAGCCAGGTCCAGGGATCTGGGTGGATCCTGACTTTAAAGTCGGGATCTTTCCCCAGCCTGGACAGGTTGAGTGACGCCAGCCGAGTGATGTCAGCCTACTGTCGGCTGAAAACGGGTCACAGAAGTGCAGAACAAACTGCACTCCTGTGATCCACAGGTGAAGTACAGCCAAACGAGCTTTGGCTGTAGTTCTCCTTTGATCTTTAATTTTTTGTGACCAAAGTGACACTTCTTTTCTTTGTGTGACCATGTGTCCAAAATAGTGATGTTCAACCTGTTTTCTTGGTTGGGCCCCGACTGTGAGCACTTATTTAATGATGTCATTTAACTTCACATCTTGTCCCAGAGTTTGGAATAAATAAGGAGCACTTTATTCTGTTTTATAAGGAGTGCAGATACATTATATTATTTTTAATTGCTGCTAATTTATCACCCAAATTGCATACAAATATTAAATCTGTCCCTCAATTGTGTTTTGCAAAAACAATGATAGTTTTTAGAAAGGTCCCCCATTTTATTTTAATGGTTTAGGGCACACAAAAGTAAAATGACATTTCTAGCATTGTTATGAACAGGTTGCTACCGAGAAAATCCCCAAGAAAACTACTGAATACTTTTCTAAACTAAATTTGTTACTCAATATATTGCCATTTTCCCTGATCACTTGTAGTTGCAATAATCTTTCCCTAAAACAAACTCCCCCTAAATCCCAAATATATTGTAAGTTACACTCTTGGGATCTCAAAAACAGGGTATGGTATCACAATTTGTGCATTTATGCCAGTACAATTTTGTTTCTTAATCTCTAAGTAGCAATGCTTCTGAAAAAAACTACCCCGGGCACATAAACAATATTTATTAAAATGTCAACTGAAGCCCACAGTGCTGTATCCACCCCTTTCAAATGCTTAGTCTATTTATACAATAAGAACAAACCCTTTGGCAGGTAGAAATGACAAAACAAAAAAAAATAAAGAGCAACTGTTTTACATTCTTTCCATGAGTACAAAAGCAATAGGGGTAGGGTGTCTGACTAGAAGGCAATTTCATCTTGTCAGACAGGTGACATTATTTCTATAAATGACAGAATGAAGGAGGTGATATTTATGAGGAAAAAGGGTATTTCTTCAGTAGAAATATGTAGCCTGTAATTGCTATACTGCGTTCTGAAATCTAAATGTAATACATGAGAGAAAAAATACTTTTTTTATGATTAGAAAGCTTAATTTTTGTTTAATACCACAGAGGTGTAACCAAGAGTACAGGTGAGAGTACAAGAATGGGTGGATCCACTTTCAATCCAGTATTCTCATCTGGTTCTTATTGAAAAGGTGGAGGTCCCAAAAAATGGCAAATAATGGCAAGCTGAAGCCATTACTATGTATGATCAATCTAGCGTACTTATGGCCCTTCTTTCTTTTGCACTGCTGCAGTAATGTAATACATACATAACATTCCATGAATAATTCTTGTTTCAAAGACCTGCAGTGCTAGCATCCAATCTAAATTCACTCTAATGAAGCAGACCAGTTACAGTATGACATGGTATCTCAGTAACAGTATATGGCATAACTAGGATTGTGAAGGACCTTGGGATCCTGAGGAAAGGAATGATGTAGCAAGAACAGGAAATTGTGGGTATAGTCTAATTTTATTATATGTGTACTTAACACACATAAACCACAGTTCTTGACTTTCAGCAAAATATTTTAACTACTGATCCATAAGAAAGAACCCAAAAAAAGAGAACATGCATTGCGTGGAATGGGTGGGCATTGCTAAATTGCACTGGATATTAGGAGTGGCTTGGGTTCAGAACAAGCAGGGTTCAGCAAACTTCAAAGACCGGCGTATGGTGAACTTGAATAACACTGAAATCAAGGGGAGTCAAATCTGTCAAATCAAAATTACCAATATTCTGGGCTAATAGGCAAAGAATTATCTAAAATAGATAGGAGGAAGGGGATGCACTGCCCTGGGAACATGTACCAGTGCAATTTTTAAAAAAATTTAATTTGATTGGGAGCAGTGATTTTCTTAAAACACTGACATTTACATAGGAAATGGTTTTAAATTGCTGGCAAATGACATATGCCTTCTGGGTTCTTTTAAAATAAAATGGCACACAAACCCCTCCAAAGGTCTCCTTAAATATCTGGGGACCTTTGGAAGTATCTGTGTGGGGTTTTTTTTTAAAGATGCTGGCAACTAAATGTAATTTGCTGACAATTTAAACTGGATCCTTTTTACTTTGTAAATGTCACTTTTGCTGTAGCACAATGAATAAGTGGGGAAGGGGAGAGGGGTGCCCAAGGAACCAATATAGTGTAGTATGTCAATTTATTAAAAAGATCATTAAAATCATATAGTATTGCACTCACAAGGGTGAAGTGTTTGCAGGCATGTCATTATGGCAGAAGTCCATAACCATAGGCAGATGGATGGCTTGATCCACTGTGAGCTGGATGGAGAGGCGGCCACTGGAGGTGCAGAAAGGATGGGCACCTTAGAGTGTGGAATGCAAAGCCAGGAACGTAGCAAAAAGTGCAAGAAATTCAGCCGCTGTGTGCACTAGCACCGAAGCTTTGCTGGAAAGGACTGTCATGCAGGAATGGATGAGCAGCCTGGAAACACCACTGAAGGAGTGAGTGTGAGTGTGACTCTAGGGAACTCCAGCACATCCTACAGCAAAAATGACAACAAAAAAACATGTAGCAGCACCAGTTGCTTCCTTAGGGACCACTGACAGTGTGAAGCTGTTATACAGTATAAAGAAATGGTAGTAGAAATACCATTTCTATTTATGATGATCTGCTCCCACCGAACAAGGAACAAGCAGGCAAAGGTTCAGAGTTCAGTCAGAACCTAGGTCCCAACCAAACCAGATGTACACATATGTCCTTACATTAGTGGTCAGTATCTGTGTCCTCCTTACATTGGTGGTCAGTATCTGTGTCCCTTTACATTGCTGGTCACTGCCTGTGCCCACTTACTTGTTAGTCAGTGTTGGTTCCCCATTACATTGATGGCCAATGTTTGTACCCCCCCTTGCATGGGAGGTCAAGTCCGCGCCCTTTTACATTGGTTGGCAGTATGCCCACTTTAAGGTCAATACGTCTTCTGTGTACCCCATTGATGCTCTGCTGAGTGGTGGTCAGTGTGCCCCCCCCTTTGCTGTTCAGTGTGCCCCTCCTGTGTTGGTGATCAGTGGGAGCAGTGTTACTCATTGGATCACTGTGAAAAAGAGAGAAGCACTGGCAAAGTAGGAAGGAAGAAGATCTGTGGTTACATTTGTGATTGCTGATTGGCTATCACTGTAATCACAAGCCACAGCACAAATCATACTCATTGTGCACATGCCATCTGTTTTAATATTCAGCAGAACAGTAGATGCAGGACCAACGCTACTTACATCCTCGGTGTATGTCAGCATGACACCTCAGTAATATACTGTATGATATACTGTATATACTTGGCACCTGTGTACCAATACTAATCAGTAAAACTATGTTGGAACCTCAATCACAGTAAACAGCAGCATAGCACCCAAGTAGCAAAGCATATGGGCAAAAGGCACCTGTTTTACATGGCCCCTTAATAATATGGTAAATGGAAACCTAGCGCCTCAATAACAATTTATTGGAATATGACACTTTATTAACATTGTGTATGGCAAAATGGCACCTGTTTGACATGGCACATTGGTATCATGCTATATGAGAATGTCATGTCTCACTAACATATATCTCAACAAAGCATTTCACTAATATAATGTATGCAAACACAACTAGAGAACATTGTATATAGTAACATGGTGACATGCTATATAGCTACAAGGTATGCAAGTAATATGGCAAAATAGGTATGTAATGTGGCAACATGGCATCTGAGTCACTTGGCACCTTATGAACCAGTATACAGAAACACATTCTAGAAACCAGTATATTCATACCAGTATGAGGCAATATATAAAGTATATGACTAAAAGATACCTATGTAACAAGTTTTGATCAAATTAAATAATAACATTGTACTAACATGGCCCCTGTAGAAATGTTGCATGCTAGACAATGTTACAATTTTGAATATGTTGCATAACTAATAACAGGTCCATAGAAGGGTTATAGTATCTTTCTTTATGTTGCTGTTTCACTGACTGATTATTATAATCCATTAACCAATACTGCTACAGGGCGGCACGGGTGCGCAAAATCACGTATATATTCATGATTTTTCAGTTCCGGGTAGGGGGCACGCATGCGAGAGCTGCAGACACCCCCTACCCTTGTCACTATTCGCGGCCTTGGTTGTCAATCACCGGATCCCGGCAGGTAATTACTCGCTGGCACCCGGTGATCACCGAGTATCTCCGACGGGGGAGAGACCTGTATGTAAATAATACAGATCTCTCCCCTGCCAGCTCCTGCATACTGCAGCAGCCATACAAACCAGTGTGCTTACAGTGAAGCGCACACACAGCCCTCATAGTGAAACAGTGCACAGCACACAGTTAGCCCTTTGATCACCCCAGATGTTAACTCATTCATGCCCAATGCCATTAGTACAGTGTCAGTGCTTTTTATTAGTACTGATCACTGTATTGGTGTCACTGGGGATGTCAGTGACACCAAGTCAGTTCCCCCCAGTGTAAGAATGCCCGCCGCAGTCCTGCTATAAGCGGCTGATCGCCGCCATTACTTAGAAAAAGAAAATTTCCAGTATCTATACCGCCATTTGTAAACGCTATAACTTTCACGTAATCCAAATAATTTACACGTATTGGATTTTTTTTTTTTAGCAGACATGTAGCAGAATACATTTTGGCCTAAATTGATGATGAAATTTGATTTAAAAATTTTTTTTTACTGGATATGTTTAATAGGAAAAAGTCCAAAATATTGTTTTTTTTTCAAAATTGTTGTTCTTTTTTATAGCACAACAAAATAAAAAAACACAGGCAATCAAATACCACCGAAAGAAAGCTCTATTTGTGGAGAAAAGGATGCAAATTTCATTTGGGTGCAGTGTTGCATGACTGTGCAATTGTCACTTAAAGTAACACAGCGCCGTATTGCAAACAATGGCCTGGTCAGGAAGGGGGGTAAATCTCTGGAGGGCAAGTGGTTAATGGGACACATTTTGGAACCCTTTTTTTTTTTTTTTTTTAAGAAAATCTTAAACTGGCTATACATGGCTCAAATTTGTCTGACAAACTTTGATTAAAAAATTTTAGGAGCCAGGTGGAAAATAATCAGCTGGACAGTAAATGCTTCCAATCAGATGCAGTCACTATCTGTATATTCAGGCAGATGAGGTGCGGGGACTTTTGGAACATCACAGCTGGCAGGGGAGATTTCTATATACACGCTGTTAGGCATGGATTCTGGAATCTTTAAGATCTCTCTTGTTCAGCCCCAATACATGTATGGCTAGCTTCAGGGTCAAGTATCCCAAAAGCTGGTGGGGGAGGGAAGGGGGGAAATGACATGTAGTTGATGATTTAGGCACCATGTCATGCAACAAAATAAAGGAAAACGGATGGCATTTTTACTTTCATATGTAGTTGAATTAAAGGAAACTAAAGATATTAGCCAATATTGTTTTATAGCAGTACTGTAAATTGATACAATAACTATTAGATTTTAGATTTTAAGTGCTTGGTACGTGGACCTTGAGTCAAATATGAAAAGTGCATGTGTAAACATGATGCCTGCAGATATTTTTTTACCTGTCAAGCAGAGATTACATAAGACATAAGATAACACATAAGAAGACATAAGACTGCAAAAGTATATTCACATGTAACCTGGACTGTAACTGATAACTACCGTAGAACGTATTCTTTTGTTGCTGCTGTATTATCCTTCTGCAGTGTGGACATGGTTAAACTGAGTATTTATTAATGCAGAAGTGCAGCAGCCATCCTTAAGCAGACCACTTTGCAATACTCATCTATCGAGTGTCTCCAGGGGCAGCCATCTTGGCTGGGTATGGTTTGATCCTAGAGGTGATTGGCTGATGCAACAGAGTAAGGAGAAGGGGTCTGCATGCTGGTGAGGAAAGGGAAGAGAACAGCAAGCAGCTGTGTGGAGAAAAGACTGAGTTGCTGCTGCTGGCTGAACAGAACCCTGCCACCGCTAACCACAATCAAGAGAAACAAATTACTCGCCATGACTCAGAGATTGGGAACTTTCTCCCTGAGAGGGTGTGAGGTGTGATTTGGGTGCTTGGTGAGATTAGAGGGTAGTGAACAATCCCTGCTTGTTGGAAAGGAAAGGAGAGACTGTCTCAGCAGGATTGAAAGTAGGGTATCACAGTAATTCCTATCCCTGTCTGAACTGAACCAGAGCATTGAGCATGTGTCTGGAGACCCAAAGGTGGGCACCCTGGGTCTGATAAGATACATTGTACAAGTTAACTTGTTATCTGCTGGGAACTGTTGTGCTTTCTTCGACCTCAACTTTGCCAGCTGACAGTTTTTTCATCAATCACTGGCCAGTGGGATAAAACTGTGAATGTTATATTAAGCAAGGACTTTCTTTATATACTGTTGCTGAGTAAATGCAGTCCAGTTCTGTTGATTACTGTTAGAATACTGCAGTTGTTTAACCATATCAACATTACTGTCTTATTGATTTTGTATAAGTACGCTTGCTATTCCTTTCTTCTTTTAGGCTATGCTTGGCTTAATACATTCTTTGAAATACCTCAAGGTGTGTTGGTAAGTTCTGGGTGAGCAAGGTGTGTCATCTATACTGTAGGTGTGCAGAGAAATCACAAAACAATGCAGTGGCTCCTCTGGGGATAGCTCTGCACAATTTTAGAGTGAATATTCAGTTTCCTTTATAAACCCAAATGTAACCACTTCTCTTTGTTAGTTAACCTATTTTCTACCTTGTGGGTCTTAAATACAAAGTCATTTTCAATAGGTATATAGCAAATAAGTGGCAGATCCCACATTACAGTCTTCTGATGTTTTCAAATAAAATTCTTTTCAAACTTTTAAAACATGCACTGAAGTCTAAAATAGCCTAATCAGCTTTCATAACTGTGCATTTAAACTTTTGAGGGATTAAAGATTAAATTCACCATTGGAACATGTTCCACCCATATCCACATGGCCACATAATTTACTCATAGAGTCCTGTGACTGAATAAACTATAATTACCATGGGCTGCCGCGGTCAACGGCTTATTGTTGTCAATGATCTGCGAGGACGCAGGTGAGTGCTATTCATAGATCATTGAATCTTCCTGCTCTCCAGCAACTCTGTGCCCAAACGGGATGGGGGGGTACGGGCAGACAGTCTGCAGGAGCCTGGCATTGCACCCGGTTATTTGGTGATCACAGGTGCAATGCTTTACAGGCGGTGGTATAAAAAAATAATAAATGCATGTTTTTTTACCTGCAAAAAAGATGTGCATTTATTATTAATATATATATTTACAGTATATACATTGTATTGCCAAAAGTATTTGGCCACCCCTCAAAATCATTGGATTCAGGTGTTCCAATCACCTCCATGGTTACAGGTGTATAAAATCAAGCACCTAGGCATGTAGACTGGTTCTAAAAACATTTGTGAAAGAATGGGTCACTCTCAGTAGCTCAGTGAATTCAAGCATGGTACCATGATAGGTTGCCACCTGTGCTATAAGTCCATCCTTGAAATTTCCTTGCTACTAAATATTTCTCGATCAACTGTTAGAGGTATTATAACAAAGTGGAAGCAACTGGGAACAACAGGAACTTAGCCATGAAGTGGTAAGCCACCACCAACGTGTCTGGGTTTGGCGGTTGCCTGGAGAACGATACTTGCCTGACTGCATTGTGCAAAGTATTAGTGGAGGGGGATTATGGTGTGGGGTCGTTTTTCAGGGGTTGGTCTTGGCCCCTTAGTTCCAGTGAAGGTAACTGTTAAGGCGTCAGCATACCAAGACATTTTGGACAATTTCATGCTCCCAACTTTGTGGGAACAGTTTGGGGATGGCCCCTTCCTGCTCCAACATGACTGTGTACCATTGCACAAAGCAAGGTCCATAAAGACATGGATGAGTGAGTTCGGTGTGGAGGAACTTGACTGACCTAAACCTGAAAGAACACTTTCTGGATGAATTAGAGAGGAGACTGTGAGCCAGGCTTTCTTGTCTGAAATCAGTGCCTGACTTCACAAATGCTCTTCTGGAAGAATGGTTAAACATTCCCATAGACACAGTCCTAAAAGTTGTGGACGGCCTTCCTAGAAGAGTTGAAGCTGTTATAGCTGCAAAGGGTGGGCCAACTCAATACTGAACCCTACGGACTAAGACTGGGATGCCATTAAAGTTCATGTGCGTGTAAAGGCAGGCGTCCCAGTACTTTTGGCAATATAGTGTATATATTTTATAATGGGTGAACTTAGCCTTTAAATATGTAAAGAGAGAAAGTTATAGAACAAACATGGTGTAAAAGCAAGCAGTGATCCAGAAAAAAAAGGAAGCAATATACTGTAGATCCAGGAAAGGTTTTCTGGTCTGAATGCACTGCATTGTGTAGGAGCTTTATGTAATGAACTGATTTCATAGAACACTATTTGCACTCACGTAATACCACAGCTAGCCTGCAGCAAAACAAAATGAGAAAAACTGTGATGTATTTATAAATTGTTTCACTGGATATTCAAGTTACATGGAAAATACTTACATTTAGTAGCCCTGCACACATTGTTAACCTGAAAGGTGTGTCCATTTTTTTAGCCAATGTAATTGTTAGGATCTGACGCACATAAGTACATTCAGTACTATGTATAGAACTCACTAAGGTATATCAAAAGGCAAGTACTCCAACTATTTTCTACTTCATAAGCACGCATCTATTTATGAGAAGAATTATGGACATAACATACCATACCATGACATGGATTCACAAAGGATGTATCTGATAAAATTATTGGCTTTGTATGCTTATTCACGTGCCTATTTTTTTCTGTTTACTTTGTGTCAATTGTATTTAGACCAGACTTATGGAAAAGCAGGTTGTGTAATGAGAAGGACAAAAATGTTTATATATTGAAGCTAAGCAGTCCTTACTGCATTATTTTCCAAGCTTTTCCCCTTTATTTTCACCTGATAATCCTGCCAGTAACATACTTTCTGTTCTAGGGAGACAACGCTCATTCACTGTTCTCTATCTCTTGATGAGCAGTATTGATACCCTGGGATAGAAATACATTTTGGACCATAGAACACATCCCCCTCTATGGATCCCCTTAAAGCAGAACTATAGGCAAAACGTTTTTTTTTCATTTTGGATAGAATAAAGGAGGGTTATAACCTTGGTCAGTTTTTTTTTCGCCATCTGTGTCCCATTGCGGAGATTTCCCTTCACTTCCTGTTCCATAGCCAAAGAGGAAGTGAGATGAAATCCCTGCAAATTAAGGGAATTCCTTGGGGACCTCCAGGTCACCAGAACTTTTCCCTCTATTACTTTTCTCAGGACAACCCAAAATATAATGTCACTCTTTCAATAATAATGGTAAACAAAACAAATAGAGAGGATGAATCTTCCTAATGGGGGAGCACACAGCAATAAACACTGACAAGTGTTCTAATTCCTCTCCACTCTATCCAAAACTAAAAAAAAAGTTTTGCCTCTAGTTATACTTTAAGATAGGGGAGAGGTACTCTGTTATATGTAAAATGAGCAAATGAGCAGAGTGCTGGACAGCCCTTGATACCTGGCAGGATCAAGTTTTTTGTTGCATTTATTGAACAGCTATAAATAAGTGCTTTCA